CTTTGTGTTGCCATTTGCACTCCAATGAACACAAGGTTGAGAGCTCCAGCTCGGTGGTGACCCCGCCGCTCCATATCCCAGCTTTGACTGGTGAGATGCAGAGCCTTTTCGTGGAATAGTTAGTTTTAGGTGGATGCTGGCATGCTGCCTTGAACAGTCCGAGTGTTGTCTTCATCAGCTTGAACAATGCTATATCCGAGGATGGTCTTGGCCAGGCTGCAAGCCAAGTGTGCCAAGCAGGAGCCTGCTGCGGCATCGACGGCAGAAGCTGCGGACCCCAAAGCAGTTTCGAAAAATAAGAAGCCCAAGAAAGGTGTCCAGAAGGATATTGAGGAGAAGATGCTTCCCGAGAAGGCTTCTTGTCTGATGTGTATTCAATATTGGGGGGATGCCTGTTGTGATTTCAATTTGCTAAATATAGAGACTGCAGGTTCTGGATAGCCTTCGGACCTTGATACCTTCGGAGCCCGCAAAGCCGTTCCTGCCCAGTGTACAGTTGCTCGGTTGCATTTTCAATAGTGTTGTGCTCCATGTCAATTTCAAGAACTGTGTTGATGTTGCTGTTGGGTTGCTTGCGGGTGGGTCGTCATTTTGCAGTCGAGCTAGGTGGGCCAAAGATGATGAGGGCGGTGCTGCAAATGGACCCGGCGATGGCGATGAGGAGGATCCTGACGGGCATAAGAAGGCCAAAGCCTCCAAAAAGCCCAAAGCGAAGAAGGCCCAGGACTCCAAGAATTGCACAGCTTCAAAGGTTCAGGCGAAGAAGGACCCCAAGAAGGAGAAACAAGATCCCAGCACAGATAAGAAGGGCGAGGAAACCGAGGCCATGCAGCGCATGAAGAGGACGATGACGTCGGATTGTGCATATGTGCCTGGATCCTACAAAGAAGCTCGCTTAAGGTTTATTGCAAGGAAGCGCGACCGGGGCTTCTCATGGAAGGAAGCTTGTCAAAAGTGGAATCAGAGCTCTGCAAGGGCTTCCTGGCTGGAAGGCTTATCGCAGAACGAATTGAAGCGACGACGCTTCATTTAGCTTTCAGGCTCTGCAGCTTTAATCCATGTGCAAATTTCTGCAGTGTAAATTCTGGTCTACAATTCGAAATGCACCTGAGACAACCTGAGACCAGCTGCAAGTGCCCGGCATCATTCAAAGCCTGAAATCGCTTTCTGTGTATCATACCAAATTGAGCCTGTCATGTTCTGCATTCAAACTCTCTTTCTGTGCACAGGGCTCCAGGCTGCTACGCTTTAGATCACAGCTGGGGCCACCAGTGGCCATGGTCGTAGCAGAGCTGTTACGATGGGGTGCCCCGCTGCAATTGATCATGTGTGTGGTGCTCCTGGCCTTTCACGAAAAGGCCCTACAAAATGAGGACTGCTTCTATGATGCATTCTGCCACGTCTCCCATCTAGATTATAAGATATTTACCAGAATTCCGATGAGCCCGCACAGGACCTTGATTTCTTGCACCTTTTCTCTGGCTGCGATTCTATCGGCGCCAGCTTCCGCACCGAACCTGGGATTGTCAGGAGGAGTCTTTCGAATCCGAAATCAACCGAAGATCTATTCCCTCAGGATCTGGGTCTGATTGGAACATCCCTGGATTTGGAAACTGATCCGATGGGCCATGATTTGATGAGCATATCTGGCTTCCTGTGACTAGACTAGACTGAAAGCTGTGAAGTGAGTCTACATGTGTGTTGGGGAGCCTGGACCTGTGTTCTCACTATAAGGACGGCCCTGAATGAAGCTCGTCGTCTCAAGATGGATACAGGCCTCTGTGTCATTGGCCTCCCATGTGCATCTTACTCAGTGATGTGGCTTGGTGCAATGTTTTAGGGGTTTGTGCTTAGTGCATGCCAATATGCAATCTATATACGGTGTATGTCTGCCTTTCTCTGAGGTCAAGAAGCACTTCCGGGAGAAATCATATCACGCCGAAGGGCAACGAGGGCTACGGTTTCGTGCATGTGGGGAATGTTTTGCTGGTACGAGTAGCGATGATTATCCTGGTCATTTGTGCTCGTAATGGACGATGGGTTTTGGAGCAGCCCTCGCAGACATGTCTTGTGGACCACCCGGCATTTCAATGGCTGCTGGAAAGAGCCCCTGCTACTAGGCATGCCTACAGTCCTCGATGAATATGCAATACAATGTGTTCATTCTAATGCCTGTTTACAACCCCACCAACTCGGACAAGGTCTTCAAGGGCTTCTTCTACATGATTCGATTCGGCAGCCCTTCGCTGAAGAGGCACATGCTGCTGTCGAATTGGCAAGGCTTGGTTGAAGCCTTGGTGGCCAGAGCAGGATATCTGAGTGTAGAGGAGAGAACAAAGATGAAGACAATAAAGCTTGCAGTGCACTCGCAGAGTAGAAGTGCACATGGGCGAAGTGTGAAGAAGAAGTTCACTGGCTTGCCCAAGCTGCTCAAAGATTCCCAGTGACTAGGCTGTGTGTGATCAGGATTGTCATGCTAGCATGATTGACCGTGGCAGGTGAAATGATTTATATGTGTCCTTGCAAGCTTAGGCAATACACGGAAAAGTTCGCGAGGGCCCTTGCTACGCACTACAGGCTGAACCATGCTGCTTCCAAACCGCAAAGAGAGCTTCTTGTTGCTTCCGATGCGGGCATCCACCATAATTCTTTATGTGCCAAGGATCAGATGCCAGGACCTCGTTGTCACACCGATGTGGACCTTGGCAAATCGGATTATGAATTATTTTCCGACCGGTTGTCTGCTGGTGCCTGGAGCTGCCCGGTGAGCCTGGAGGCCTCTAGGCTCAATACTTGAAAAAGCTGTGATTCTGATATATCGTCTATGCTTAATTAATCATCCCAGGCTGGACTACCGGAATGCGGCCACTACCTCCTCCGGTCCAAAGACGTGGTTCTGAAAGGCCAATGGGAACCTCGGCCTTTATTATAATTGCAGGTACGTTTCAGCAAAACAGCAGATGTGACATGCCCGCTCAGTTCCGGATCAAGAATAGCTGTGCCCTGTCGATCCCCCTTTTCGATCTTTGTGCTACCATGAAGCCGTCGTCGAAGCACATGCCACAGAAGCCAGAAGCAGCGGCAACAGCGGCAACGGTGGCAGCAGCGGCAGCATCCTCCTCGGGCAAGGAGGACAAGGAAGTCGTTGCAGTAAAGAGTGAGCCGCTAGAAGAGGATGTGCAGAGTGAGACCGCGGAGCTCCGAAGGAAGCGCATTGTTATGGAGATTCTGGCGGAGAAGGACAAGGGTAAGACTCAGTCCAGTGAAAAAGTGGAGGCCAAGGCACGACGTCGTCGCAGATCTCGGTCGCCATCCAATGCCTCGACTTTGGTCCTCGGCTCCGCAGTGTACGCTTCCAGCAGCAGTGCATCAGACGACGACAAATAGTGCGCACCCGGCCCACATGTGCAAGCTTTGGTGCAGGAAAAAGCCGGCTTCTCCAATTAGCTTTGCAGCAGTGCATGCAGCCATCCACGAGACAACTGCAACTCTAAACCTGGACCCTTTAAGTCAGCCCAAAGCTCAGGATTGTCTCCGAGATCGATTGAAGTGCCTTGGCTGAGTCGGATTGCACTATACATATCTGCACTGTGTGAGTGCTCTCTTCTTTTTTGCCCTCCTCGCTCCGCTCCGCTCCGCTTCGCCTCTTCCTCTCCTCTCCTCTCCTCTCCTCTCCTCTCCTCTCCTCTCCTCTCCTCTCCTCTCCTCTCCGCTCCGCTCCGCTCCGCTCCTCTCCTCTCCTCTCCTCTCCTCTCCTCTCCTCTCCTCTCCTCTCCTCTCCTCTCCTCTCCTCTCCTCTCCTCTCCTCTCCTCTCCTCTCCTCTCGAGCCTCTCCTCTCCTCTCTTCTCCTCTCCTCTCCTCTCCTCTCCTCTCCTCTCCTCTCCTCTCCTCTCGAGCCTCTCCTGTCCTCTCTCCCCTCCTTGCCTCGCATCGTCTCCTCCTCCTCCCCTCCTCCCCTCCCCTCCTCCCCTCCTCCCCTCCTCCCCTCCTCCCCTCTCCCTCCTCTCAAAAATGCCTCAAAGCAACCCCCCTCTCCCGGGCCGGAAGAGGGGGGTTGCTTTTCGGGAGTTTTGTAGCGGTGTGGGTGTGGGTGTGGGTCTCTCCCTCTCCCTCTCCTCTCCCTCTCCCTCTCCCTCTCCCTCTCCCTCTCCCTCTCCCTCTCCCTCTCCCTCTCCCTCCCCTCTTCTCTCCCTCTCCCTCTCCCTCCTCTCCGCTCCTCTCGCCTCCAACCACAGTCAAAAGCTGCAAAACCAACAAGAGCAACAGCCTTCCACGAAAAACCACGAAACGCGCACCATCAATTGCAAAACCATAGAAAAGCGCAGAAAAGCGCAGAAAAGCGCACGAAACCCATTGGAAAACACCAAAAAAGCGCAGAAAAGCGCAGAAAAGCGCAAAAAAGCGCAGAAGTCCACGAGACCTCGGGAACACAATGAATTTCACGAAAACACACCAAAACGCATCGACATAGCTCGATCTGAGGCTTCTTTGCAAGAGTTCCCGGGACCGAACACAGCCTTCAGAAGCTGTGCCATGATTGCATTTAAATTTATGTTTCGGGGGTTCGAACTTTGCAGACCAGCCCCGTGTCGCCCATGCAGCGAGGACATTGCTGCTGGCATCGGCCCGTTTGCAGCTGGAATCCTCAATTAGATGGTCGGCTTGTATAGTCCGGCTGTTTGTGTGGAATTCCCATGCACAATCCCTGCATTCAATTGTCCCTCATTATACCTAGCTAGCTGTATACATATATAGATCGAGTTATAGAGCTGCTTTGCTTGGATTGGGGCAATGCCACTAATTCGGACTAGCTAGGATCTTTCAATCCACAGCAAAAGTCGTCGCGTGGAAAATGTGCCAATGTACGTTAAATCCAGGCCACTTGACCGTTAAATCGCGTGGAATCTGTGCTTTTTACAAATCTATAGCATCGAACACTGCCGCGAAGCCGTCTATAGCTCCCTGCAGAAGGCAGGAAGATCTTTTAGTCAGCTCTATCATGAAGGCCACGAAACAGGCTCTGGATCGTGGCTTGAAGTACAAGGAAGCATTGCGGGATCACAAAACAGCTGCACCTTCCAGTTCCTCCAAATGGAGGCCCCCCAGCATCCCACTTACAACGCCAGTGGGAGTGGCGGATATGACATTGGGTGACATGATGAAGAAAGAGAAGCTCAGCTACCCTGATGCCGTTACTGTTTTCCTTGCTTTCAATGAGTCCCTGGCGAAGAAGCCTTCCAAGAAGCCCAAGAAAGCCGAGAAAGCCAACACGAACTCCTCAGCAGGTGAGTCAGCAGCCCCGGCCGAAGCCGATGAACCCCAGCCGAAGCGCAAGAAGACCAAAGCCGAGGAAGCCGATAAGAAATCCGGAAAGCAGCCCCCAGCCAAGGAAGCCGGTAAGAAATCCAGAAAGCAGCCCCCGTCTGAAGCTCCAGTCGATTCTGTGGACACTGGCAAGAGAAGCTCTGTGGCTCCGAAAGCCAAAGCTTCTAAAGCCAAGGCTCCTCCACCATTGAAGCGCAAAGGAGCTTTTGTGCATGAACCTGAGGCTGAGGTGCTCGAGGCGCCGTCCAAGCGACTGAGAGGTAAGACTGGTGCAGCAAACCAGATCCCCGAAGACACACAAGCAGACCAGATCCCCGAAGACGCAGAAGCAGACCAGATCCCCGAAGACGCAGAAGCAGACCAGATCCCCGAGAACCCCAACCCGGAGGAAGACGACGAGGACAGTGCCCTTTTCAAGGATTGGGATGAGCTCTGCTATGAGTACGACCTATGGAGACAAGGACTTCCTCAACAGAGTGAGCTGGACGCTGCTTTGAAGGCTCACAGAAATTCTGCTCCCGTGACTCCTGTGCCAGCAGTTAAGTCGGGGCCGGATGCACAGTGCCTGCTGGCACTGCCTGGGCCGGAGCCGCCCCGTGGTGATGCGAATGATAGCCAAGTGTGCTTTGATTGCAATGTATACATGATGTCTCACATACTCAACTTCCGTTGCGATCAATTTAATCACATGCACAATCGCGTCTGAGGTCTGGTAGTACCTTTGTGGACAGTCAAGCCAGGCTGCACGCAAGCCGCCTCACCAACAAGGACCGCCAGGACTCCCAGACGAATCTCAGCGATCTCGGGCCCTCGGCAAGCCAAGTTGCAAGTGCACTTGACATGAGCGTGCTGTTGCAGCGTGTGCAGCAGTTGGAACTGGAAAAGGCCGAACTTCAGTCGCAGCTCAGCAGCGACTCGAAAAGTACCACTTCGGAAACAAAGGACCCCGTGCCCGAAGACGCTTCGAAAGAACCCGCTGCATCAAAGCCTGTGGCTACGCCTGTCAGGGCCAAGGTGCATGTGTTCCACGATTCGCCGTCGCCTGCCCCAGCGAACCATGCTCTTCCCGCCTGTCTGAGCGACTTAAAGATCAAGACTCAAGCCCAGCCGGTTCCAAGACCAACGGAGATGCCAACGGATGGGTCAGACGTCAAGCTGGAGGAGCCGTCTGAGAGGATTTCATCTGCTACGCACCGAAAAGAATATGCCAAACTCGCCGCTTTGCTGAATAGATCCCTGAATATTTCTCCCCCGACAAGCATTAGAAGGTGTGCCTATTATATCTGCTAAGAACCGATTGCACGATGCTGGAGCACTGGCCAACTACCCGAGCATGCTGGCGTTGCAGGAGGAGGGCACCCTGGATGTCGCTCGCCAAATTATATCTTGGCCTGACTACTTTAGCCTAATTTAACAACATTATATCTGTATTGACACTTCATCTAAACTCGATTAGGTTTTTTCTAATTTCCTACTTTATGGCATAGTTCAACTTTAGCAGAGAGTCAGAGAGACATAGGGTGAGTGCCGAGAGCAAGAGAGAGAGAGAGAGAGAGAGAGAGAGAGGTCTACTTAAGTGTGTGTGTGTGGGTGGGTGCAAGTGTCTGTGTTTGTGTGTGTCGTGATCGACCAACATGGCTCGAATGATCGGTGGTTGTGCTGAGGAGAAGCGCAAGCTGTTGCGCAACTGGGTGCTTTCGGGCCAGAACTTGCAGGCTTGCGAGAGCGCCATCGAGGTTTCGCAGGAGTCCGGTGTGCGTGGCGAGAAAGTCTGGATGCAGATCCCTGTGAAGAACATGCACAGAAAGCCCCACTACTTTAGCGAGTACTTCGGCAGCAAATTATAACGATTCGCTCAAGCTCTACATTCTGTCTCCTTTCACCATGTTTGCAATCTGCAGCTAAGGCAGAAAATACAACACATAATTGCAACGCAAGTGGGGGAACGTGATGAACAAGCGCCAGATTCTCTTCCTGACACCTTATACTGGTGTATAGTGGGCCGCACCCAGGTGGAAAGCACCGAGTACAGGAGCACGGCTTGCATTGGATGTTTAGCATGAACATGTGCAGGCCTGCTTGTTGTATTCTGTCTAGTCACTGAAGGCTGAAGCAGAACTTCAAAGCGAACTGTCGTCCGGGATCACAATTCTTTGATGCTCCTATTCCTGGTGCCGATCCGGGCCTCCTCAATAAGAAGGCTGCCACGACCCAGCAAGCACCGCTGAAGGCCGATGTCCTGAGGGCTTTCGACAAGCGCAAGGACGAGTTGAGTCAGCTCGCACTGCAGGAGGCAAGTGGAGCAGGTGGGGACCGAATATTTCAAGTGTTACCCAAACCTCGAGATATTGTAACATTCCACAAAGACCATAGCACCCGAAGATAGACCGAGAGAGAGAGAGAGAGAGAGAGAGAGAGAGAGAGAGAGAGAGAGAGAGAGAGAGAGAGAGAGAGAGAGAGAGAGAGAGAGAGAGAGACAGCGAGATATGGTTTTGATATGTTTTGATTCCATATCTAGGGGCCTACATCCTGAACCCAGTGAGGTGCTGGACGCAATCAGAGACGGCCGGCAGCGAAAGCCACGTCACGACGAGCGGGGTCGGTTGCAGGATCTACGGCGACCACTGTTAAAGCAAGCTCCTTGATCAATGAGGTTTTCAAGTGCTCCAAAGACAAGCATGCAAAGTGGTGCTGCTAGGTTGCACTTTAAGATTCTCTTGCATTGTCGTTGTCATAGTCAGTGGCGGTGTTCTGGTTGTCAAATGCAAGGCAAGGAGCTCAAGAAGAGTGTGAATGGCATCACGGACCTGATCTTTGATATGGGGGATGCTTCTGATGATGATTCCCAGAGGCTGCTCAAGGACCTCAAGGGTCACAAGAAGAGGCTCGAAATGCTCGCGAGGAAGCAACCAGTCTAAATTAGCTGATTTCTACCCCATATCCACACCTTCATGTCATCTTGATTGCACCGAGGTTCAAAAAATTGGACCCAGATGCCCAAGCCGAGGAAATGGATGGCCAGTGCGACGCTATCCACGATGAAGTTTCCTTGGGTATCGATGAGTGTTGTGTTTTGGTTTGTCGATTGCGACTTTTTTCTTTGGGCTTAGTGTGCTTCGGGTGCTTGGGAGCCAAGGTTCAAAAGCTTTCTTTGTGCAAAGGGCAAATCAAAGGCCTGCTGAAGGAGCTCCAGAAGAGGGCTGCCTGATATGATTCTCCGGGTGATTGCTGGTGCATATCGTTACGAACTTAAAACTCTGCTGCCCCAAATCCTGTTACTGCCTGGGCCCTTTTACGATGTCTATCTTCGCAGTGCACCGGTGATAGCAATGAGGATGTGGTCTCTACCCAGGAACCACATCGTTTCCTTCGAAGAGTTACAATGTATGTGGTCGTGCATTTGCTGATTATATAGAGCAGCACTGAAGATCGCAGATTTCGGGATGTTGATAGAAGTTGGGGCCTACGGTTTCATTGATCCTTCCGGCACTTATATAATCCTTACTACTTAGCAGGGTCTTGGGCTCGTCAATGTGTACGACTTGCATATGTGGGATCCTCTTGCTAGGGGAACCTCTGCAAAACTTTGCGGAGAACCTCCATAGCGCAAGGGGCTACCGGGGCTTGGAGTGTGAGGCCGTGCACCAAACAGGTGCAGGATGCTCCACATGCCAATTTGCCGCTTGCATTTGTAGTTATGGCTGCATGCAGGCAATCTCGAACCAAGCAAAGCGTTGGGGCCAAAACAATCCTTTCGAAAGCTCTATACTGACTACTGCGAGCATCCCGCTTGGTCTCCAATCCCCAAATCCGATCAAGTGCGACGTGTGCAGGTGCCAAGAAGGCTGCCGAGCCGCCGAAGGTGGCATATGTCCTCGATGAGAAGCGCCTTGATTTTGAATACCCAAATCCATAACCCCAAACTCCATATGTCCATACACCTGTAATTCTTCATTGCATGATTCAAATTAAAGCCCACTTAGACCGAAACTAGAATCCGAAAGCTCCCTGCCCAAGGCTGGTTCGAGCTACGTGTGCTGGTGACACGACTTTGACAGTGGCCTGTGACTTGGGTGACTTGCCAATATTGCTGGGGTTCTATAGTTGTAACACAACCCGCCGAATATAAGCACGGTATCCCTCTATATACATATAGATAGCAAATAAATCCCAAATCCCAAACCACAGCTTAAGGAGATGCCTACGGGTCTCGGCTATTGGATGGATACAGCAGCAGGCCTCTACGAGAGGCCGAGTTTCATTCGCGACTGTCTGGAACTGGGCTGGCTTTCGACTGTGAGCTGACGTGGATTAATGCTCCAGCAATACAAAACGAGGAAGAAGAGACCATAGAAGCCTTCCCAATTATTCTTCCTTCCAACCTTGCTTCTCGATTACATTAGCAGTTCTTCCAACTTTAGTTGTGACGGCCATCAAATGCTGAACCGCTGAACACACATAAAAGCTAATATAACCCAAGAACCTGATCCAAGGCACGGTGCCTTGTGCAAGAGGGGTTCTTGAACACGATGATCCCGGACAGAGCTGCCCTGGAGGAGTACTGGGACCAAACATTGCAGGAATTGTATATTCCTATAATGATCTGGGGTGATGAAGCGACCCTCAACCGTACTTCATGGATGCTGGCTTCGTGGAACTTTGGCTTGTTCTGCAAATTTTCCTGTATAGTTATAATGCACAAGCTATGGGGTGCTAGCAGGGTTTCTCGAATCCTTGATTGCCCATAAACCAATATTCTAGGACACCTGACCTCTCCGAATGCCGCACGGACTCCAAAGCCTCCCGCTACATCATGTATTCTTTGTTGGTGCAGAGCTACCTCATTCAGAGCAAGACGAATATAACACTTCAGACCCTGAATTCAGCTATTGTGGCCGACTTCAACAAACTGAGCGCAGAAGGTCTGCTGGTGGGCGAGGAGGTGCTTGGTATTTAAACCAGCCCTAAATCACAAGCCCGCGATCTCAGCAAATGTTGTAGTGTATAAGACCCCAATCCTCCCTGTTCAGGTATACTACTTAATTATTCCTGTGGGCTTCAGAGGCGACCTGAAACAAATGGGCCAGGCCTTCAACCTCACCCGCAAGCCGGGGTCGGAGAAGGTACAGAGACCGCACATGGCAGGATATTTTTGTTTAAGGGTTTGTTCCATTGTTTGTTGGGCCTTGGGGTTTTGGCTTTCGTCATACAAAACTACATCGAAGCTATACGAACCCTCTACATAGGTGTAATATGTATAGGCTATAATCGCAGGAACTTTTGTTTGATTGTATTCCTATCCAACCCAGGTTTGCTTCTTTTGTGAGGCCAGTATGGGGCGGAAAGACTTCAGTACTGTGTATACTGATGTTTCAGAAGCAGCTGGGTGGCGGAGCACAATGCATCATGATGGCAACTGTGAGCTGCCCTGGACCGATGAGCCTGCTTTCGCGAAACTGCACTATTTCCAGCTCTCTATGCTTCGCATTGACTATATGCATACATGGCACTTGGGTGTGGCTCGTGACCTGGTGGGCTCGGCTCTGAAAATCATTGCCACCGGCAAACACTGGTTTTCCGCAAGAAATATCAATGCAAGGCTGAAGCAGATCCTTGCAGCTGCCAAGGCTTTTGGGAAACAAAAGAAGCACTACATTTCGATCAAGAAGCTCACGAAGAATGGCCTTGGATGGGATGAATGTCCTGAATTTAAGGGCTCTGCAGCCGACACGGCTGTTTTTCTTGGTTGGTTGGCGACGACACTTGTGGAAAGGCCGCCGCCGCCACCGTACGACGGCTTGCCGGGCGTTGTATGGGTTGCCAATCATACCTGCGAGTTCCTCTTTGCTTCAGGCTGCTTCTTGTCTGATGAGGCATGGGATCAAGTTCGAGTGCTGGCTCGGCTTTTTTTCCATGGATATCTGCAGCTAGCAGTGAATGCGCACGAGGCGGGAAAGCTGCTGTTCAAGACGAGGCCGAAATTTCACATTTTACAGCATCTCTTGGAAGGCCACGGTGGCAAAAGAAATCCGGCGTACGATGCCACTTTTATGGATGAGGACCATGTTCGCTGGTGCTTGAAGATGTTCAGGAAGTGCTCGCATAAAACTGCGAGCATGAATGTCCTGAAGAGACATCTGGTGACTTTGAAGACCAACCTTCGCAAATATGTGTGAAATGACCGAGATCGAGGTGACCACCGAGCCAGCGAGGGCTTCAGGGAGTGCAGGGAGTTCAGGGAGTTCTGGGTCTTGCTGTGGCTTTCGGGTGTGGGTTTCCCAACTCTCCGAACCTAACCCTCGCACCCCGAAGACCCTACAGCCCTAAAGTCGCTAAACACCCGAACGCCCTAATGTAATTGGCTCAAACTTTTTTATAATGCTCCATGTGTTCGGCTCAAGCTTCCATGCTTCTTTTCGAATTTACGATGCTCACGATGCTTTTCGGTGAAGTCCTAAACCCGAAATGGCTCAAACGTGCTCAAATGCTTGGCTCAAACTTCTGCTTAGAAGTTTCCGTGCTCACAGTATTATCGGGTGAAGTTTGTACAAGTGCAGCTGCAGCTGTACGACAATGTTTGGTGACTTCGCTTTGCACAACATAGTGTGCATCTTTTTTGTTCATACATCTTGTGTTGTTGTTCGATGATACACTTTCGTCGATTTCAAATGACCTCTCTATATCCCCAAATGACCCTTAAAGGTCAAATGACCCTTATATAAGGCCTGCTTTTTGAGGTAGCGAACCTTTTAAGAGACAGGCCGTCCCCAAGGCAGGGCCTGCTCTGGGCAACGGCCTGCTCTGGCCAAGGCCGCGCGCGCCCTGGGGGCGAGACTCTTCCGCGACTAAAGACCCTCCCGGCCTGCTCTGGCACACACACACACACACACACACCACACACGCACACACACACACACGCACACACACACACACACGCACACCCACACACACACACACACCCCCACACACACACACACACACCCACACACACACACACACACACACACCCACACACACACACACACACGCACACACGCACACACCCACACACACGCACACACGCATACAGGCTCGCACGCACGCATACACGCGCACACGCATACAGGCGCGCACGCACGCATACACGCGGATGCTTCTCGTGATCGCTGCCGGCAAGTCCTACAGACGGCATACAGTGCGGGCCCAAGGACAGGTATGTGCAGAGAGTTGAATGGCATGCAACGTGGCTGAATGTGCAGTCAATCTGTGTGTGCAGTCGCCATGCGTTTCGGCGGACCGGTTTACAACGTCGTCTCCGCAGAAATTTCGGGTCGAAGCACCGAGTGGCATGTACCATGCCTGCATATGGTGCGGGCCCAAGGACAGGGATGTGCAGGACATTGAATGGCATGCACCATGCATGAACGTCTATAGTGTACAGTCGCCTTGCGTTTCGGTGGACCGCTTTAGGACGTCGCCCTCCGCAGCCATTTCGGGTCGAAGCACGCGTCATCGGCTTTTTGCGCATAACTTGCATAATCACAGCTATCTGGACTCGTTGGAAATGTGTATTTAGACTAGGTAAGAGGTCGCGTGACCCGTATTGGGAAGCCGGCCGATACCTGGCAGTCGTGCTCGCGCTTCTTCATAGATGGCACCTGAGCGCCACCGTGGTGGGTGGCGCGCATGTTTTTGGATAAGCAGCCAGCGAGTGCGAGGTCCTGTTCGTGAGAGCAAAGAGAGGGCCGCAGAGGATGAGAGGCACTTGGAGGAGGCTTGCCGGGAAGGCTCGGTCGCTGTTCAAGCAAGGGCACGTACACTGATATCAGAACAGACTTGCGAAGCTACCTCCAGCAAGACGTTCGATGCACAGAAGGGATCATACCAAGTTCTGGTTGACGTTATTTTTGTCGTCCCCGGCCCAGATGCTCCGACTCAA